AAGGGAAGTGGTGAGTTGGTGGTCAGTTCGAGGGTGACTTGGAGGAGGTCATGCGAGGAGGAGATGAAAGCATGTGGGCAGACTTGGAGCGGGGTGAAAAAGTTGGAAGAAAACCGAAGGTAATACAGAAGCGCAGCTGAAGCCTTATGTTCCTGTAGGAATTAAAGGATATAATAATAATAACTAGATAAGAGAAGATCAAAATTTCGGGGCACTTGAGGTTAGATGAAAGGCTGATAATGTAATACAGTCAGCAGAACTCAGAAGATCAAGAAAAATTATCTCTTAAGAGAGTCAAGCGAAAAATAAAGGGAGCGGGTGGAGTGAAAAGACAAGCTAACAAAATTGGAAAACAAAGATTTACTAAGAAGTGAGTTACCAGGGTAACTGGAGTCCAACAACGGATTCTTTTTGGACACATAAGTTAGGCTTCAATCGTTTTATTACCTTAGCTTCAGCAAACCTGAGAAGACTTTTTCTGTTAATTATTTCGAATGATTCCAGCAATTCTACTCGGTATCGTGTGTTAATCAGGTGTTTAACGATTGGAGAGCTTAGACAATTCGGTCTCTTTAACCGTAGGCTCCTTGGTACATGTTCTCAGAATCTGACCTAGGCCTTCCTTTTTGTTCTTCCAATGTAACTGCTCCCGCAGATACATGTGGATTGGTATACACAGTTGGAGGTAACATGTGAGAGACACTTGTCAATCTTTGACTGCACTAGTGAGGAGGTTGTTCGGCATAGAGAGACTAATAACGCTGCAGGATACGTCCTAGACAGGGTGCGCTTTATCTTTTATTTACCATTCTCATAATGTCGTCACCCTTGTAGTCGAGTTTGATGAAAATAGGTTTCTTATTGACTGTAGCTGTATCAAGCTTCTTGAATTCATTCTTGCCACATTTGTTAATGAAACTTTGTGCACAACTATTTTCTCTCAAGCATTTTTCAAGAAGTATTAGTTCACTGATTTCAGCTCATAGAACAAGTTTTTAATCTTATGAATTATAACCTTCTTGAATCACTATGTAAACGTACAAGCTAACATTGTCTGTTCATAGGATTTTTCTGCTTCCTGTCGTCTCCTCTTCACCTCTTCTCTCTCTATTCTGATAGCACATAAATTGGTGATAACTTTAACTAAGACCAACTGTAACGCTTATATAATGGATGCGTTGATCTCAAAATGTTTTTTCCACTACGAATCTTTAAAACATTGAGATGTGTTATTTTAACTCCTTCTATTATTACAATTGTGGTTTCAGTTATTTTTCAGCAGCTGATGAGAACCTGTGAAATGGAATGATGAGATCGATCACATTTTCTACTGCCAATCTGATCATCATTTCTCTACAGAAAAATATCCTTCTCATGTAAATGAAAACAAACTCTGAAACCTGTCAAATTCCTCATTTCTATGTGCTATAATGATGATACCTGGCAGTGACTGAGTGGTTTAGCCCTTTTCAAAAGTGTTTATCTGACTGAGTGTCACTCATTATTACCTCTTTAAAACATACATTAATCACTGCGATTTGGTTTTACTTAGAAAAATAATACTGCAAAATGGGAAAACTCATGAGGAGAAATAAGTGTAATAAAATAATAATTGTTCGGAACATCCTTCGTGAACGATTTACTCAAAATATGATGTGCACTTATTTCAGTGTTTCAACTGACATTGCAATGATTGTCCCTTTTACGCCTAGAAGGTATATCATTGTCTTAACATTTGCATATCACATGTTCACTTGGTCCTTATTAGTGTTTGTCTTTGTTCCTCCCTGTTAAATCTCTCATTCTAATACTTCTCTTTTTGTGTTGTTTAACTAGGTGGTTTTGTTTGACTTAGTCAATACCACATTCTGACCCTGGACTGTATTCGGTCAATCTTGGTGTGTGTGATTCATTCATTCAGAGATTTTGATCCGATCTTGTTGGGAAAATTCTGCCTAAAGGAGCCGTTGTATAGAACCACATAGATCTTACACAGAATAACAGCCTTTTCCTATCTTTTAACGTCTTGAGGTCAAACGGCCACCAAGAACTCCCTCGCATTCAATGATTCTCTATCTTATGTCGATCCATGATCAAACTTCGGATAAATCAATTCTCAAAAACCACTGAATACAAAACTATTCACCACAGAAAAGTGAACAGCATCACATGACATTTTCGAAAAATAGCAAAATGTCTTTGTCATTACTATTGCCTGAAGACTTACAATGATTAAACATAAAGAGACACTGAAATTTCCCAACAGTAGTTTCACTATAGCAAACAGAGTAATTTTTCGCGCTGACCACGGAGAAAAAATCACAGTAATATTTTAACTACTGACCATTTGATAAATAGTATGTTTTGTCTTGTGTAAATTTATTTCGCCTGAACTATTATACGAAGCATTTGACAGTTAGGCAAAACCCTTAACTGCTTAAAAGTCTTCATTAGGTCACACAGAAGAGGAAGCATTCACAGTAGAGTGACTGTTTTCAACCATATCATACCTGAGCTATACAGATGCACACAGTGTGCTTTAGTACATTTTTATAGCGACAGAATTCAATGTCTCCTTACATTCATCATTCAAATTGTAAGATTCCGATGAAAATTGTTCAGTAAAGAATCGAATAACTGGACAGAAACTAAAACGAATAAATGAGCCAATAAGTTAGTCTAAAAAAGTTTACTGGAAGAGATGCGGGGTAGAAACTGTGCGTAAAGCTGATACTCACAGTCTGACAAAATTCCTTTAGAATATTTACTGCATGCGTGCCTATCAATGACGATGTCAACTATATGGCCCAGTGAGACACCACTCTTTCTAATGACAGTCGTCGGAGTTCCGCAAAGTATGACATAGTCTTTTTTAAGTAATCCACGAGAGAATAAGGGTGAAGAATAGATAAGATGCACCAGTTGACAAACTGCAAAAGGAGTGGTTGAGTTGTGGCCAAGTGCATTAACTTCTTAGTGAAAAAGTCAGACGAAATATTCTTTTATAAATCGCTAAAACATGGGAAGACCAGAATAGCTTAGAAAAAAAAATTGGCTCAAGATACGTAATGTCAGACTTGATTTCTATATCACTATCATCAATTTTGCAACAGTAATAGGAACTAACAGCTTCATTTAATTTTATTTCATATCGGAAACTGGAATTAACAGTCTGACATTTAGAAGGATTTAGTTTAAAATCATTAGACAAAGGCCATTTGCTGACTCCTGATAGAAAGCCGTTCGCCTTCATACAATCTAGCTGAGAATTAATAGGCGCTGAAACAGTTAGATCGTCGGCATACTTAACAAAGTTCATTTCATCTGAGTGAGGCAAGTCATTCAAGAAGAAAGAAAACAGAAAAGGAAAAAGGACAGCGCCTCGAGGGACACCAGCCTCAGTAAGCAATTAAGTGGACGTCTTCCCCTGACATACCGTGTACTGCTTTCTTCCTGAGAAATAAGAATGCAGATATTTGACAACCCACCGCCTCTGTGTTACTAACGTTCAACTCATGGTTTCTTATTTGGGTTCTGCTCAAACACTGACCTGGCGCGTGATGTCATTCAATGGTCTCCTAAACGTGTATACGGCCTGTCTCCATTGGCATCGGAATATTTGTTGAGTAATAGCTCCCTGGTTAGTTCGTTCACGGAGTTTCTTGTCCCTTGTCATTTCTGGTCACCATCAAGTCGGTGATGGCAGCTGTTAATGAAAATCTTGGTCTTCATTTTCTAATCCATGTTGGCTTTGATATTCTCATGCATACTTGCAAATGTGTTATTTTGCAGGGATTTCACTGGCTACTGGAAGATATAGACAATTGGGAATTCTAAACAAGTATGATAATTTGGGGATCCACTTTGTATTTATTAATCAGGATTCGCCAAGAATCAGCTAACACCACACCTTAACGTCCGTTCAAAGTGTGTCAGTATCTAGAATTTTATGACTGCATGTATTTTCCAAAAATAGTAAATAACAATTTTTTTGTTAGTTCCTTAGCTATGTTTCTCGTTATTTTTCCTTTGTGTATAATTTATACTACTTATCACTAGTTAGTAGTAAGAGTAAGAGTATGAGATATAATTGTTACTTCATAACCATCATTTTGTTAACCACATTGAAGTTTAACTTACTATTTGATTTAATGTAATTCATTGCTATAGATGAATACTTAATATCTGCTGTATGTGCCCTATTTATTTGCTCTTCACTGCTGAACATTGTTGATTCGTACACGTTTATTCTGTTCAAATCTATGCGCGTGGATCGCCTTTGATGCAGCTTTGCTGTTTTTCTTATCAATGTACACACACTGAACATGTTTTTGACTGCATTCAGGCACACCTCAGACACCTCACAATTTGAGGTTTCGATATTAAATTTTTTAAATTTTATCTGAACTATAGTACCGCATTCTAGACAAATCCTGCGTAGTTTTGGATATTACGTGTCACTCTACGTAAGATTTAATTAATCGTCTGACTTATCTCTCCATGCAATTCTAAGAAAAGAATTCACATGCATGATAGTGACTAACAGTGGAATTCAGGTGGCATACTTTGTACCAATGTGGACTCGTCTAGTGTATGCCTAAATCATTTAGATAGTATGAGGTGTACTGAGTTGAAGCTAAAGTGATGACATAAGGCATATAAGTTAGAATTATACCCAATCCAACCCTAGGATAACGACAAAACAATCTGTGATTTCGAAATTATGTATATATAAATAAATATATTATCGAAATCATTTCTCGTCTGTGCTCTCTGCACAGCTTTAAAGCACGACTATGCAGAACAAAAAATTGACTTCGAAATAAAGAAGGGAAATGAAATTATTCAGTAATTGGAAATTAAAACTACTATAGGCACAATTCGGCATAGTTCTGCTTTAGGTATATGCAACAGGCTTTCATTCACACATCGCTATTCTCTTTTCTGATACACGTAATGAATTCACAAGAAATCCTCTGACACAGCTTGCTTGTCTCACACTACCTACGATAGTATTCATCTTCTGTCAAGGGGATCGCCTTCTCTATTCCGCGTAGTTTACACTCGAATTCAGCTAACTGTTCCATTAAACACCAGCTAGGTTGCATAGTAACACAAATTTTTCGGATATGCATCCAAGCATCCTGGTTGGGAAAGAAATAGATAAGAAGTATAGTTTGGTTTTTTGAAAACAAACTCTCACTTAGTTTATTTGAACGAATAATAAGTCAATATGCAAAACAAGAAAGTATATTTCACTCACTTTGGACCTTTGCGTTGATTGATTGGACTGAAGTGTTCGACTTCAGGTTGACATGTCAGCTCTTTGTGCGAATACTTTGACGTTGAATAACTAGCAGTGGAATCCAGGATGTACCATATCTTCCCCCCTCGCCACCGCCTCCTTTGAGATTCGTCATCTGGATGGGCACTGGGTCCTAGCGTCAGTGGGAGAACACCACTATCCACTCACTGTAGAATGCAGGTACACCCATCTAGTTGATAAGTTCCAAAGAGGACGAAACGCGCGCATCCTGGGTTCCACTGTGAATCACCATTTACCATTCAAAGGCGTGAAATATGAACATTAGCGATTATCGTGTTGTACATAAATTTGCGTATTGAAAAGTTGAAGGTAGTCGTTCGAAAATCATGCGACGAGTAAAATTCACAAATTTCAATCCACCATAAAATTTTGTTTGACCGCTTACTCGTAAACACATATCTACACAACAAACACTTCTCTTAAAAAGATCTACAAGTGGACTGATCATGAATACAGTAATCCATTGTGTAGGAGTGAGTGTTCACTAACACTACACAATGAGTAGATTTCAATGATGTAATAGAAACGTCACACGAAGAAATGAAAAATGACTATCTTCTGATTTATGGCTGTTAGATGTAGCTGTAGAAGACAGAAGATTAGAGCTTTCCAACTTAGTGAGGTCTATCATTCTTGGTGTGTCATTGTGATACTAATTACATAGATCAAACCAATAAGTAGATTGGTTTTAGTTAGATTTAATGATATTAGATGGTTGGAGGCAATCGGCCACAGGAAGCCTTGCTTGACCTAGGCTTCGGGGTAGTTGGCACTCATTAACAAGGCGGATCTGCAACCTTGAAGCAACTTATGTCCCTCCTGAGGTTCGAACCCGCGTTGCCCAGTAAGTTCTACAGTCAGAGGCGTTACCACTGCTCCAGGTATTCGAACTTGTGGTTGACCTCTTGTAGGACAGTAGTGGAAACTTTGATTGCACACTAGTAACTAATTAGTGTGATGTGTCTAGTCCTTTCTTCTGTGCAGACTGAATTCTATCAGTCAGTCCAAGGCTTCCTGCCAATTGCCTTCAACCATCTAATATCATTAAATCAATGTGAACTGTGACGGTGAGCTACCCAGAATGGTGGCCACATTACAAACATGACTGATAGAATTCAATCTGCACCAAAGAAAGGACTAAACACATCACACTAGTTACTAGTGTGCAATCAAAGTCCATTAGATTTTTGGAACACAGGAATTCAGTTAGAATGATTACTGAATTCTCAATATTTTGGAACGACTGGCATCAGCCACTGTCATCCTTCGGCAAGTATTTGTCTTCACTCCTTACCGGGTGGAGCCCACTGGTCACAACTTCTCACTAGAAATCCAGTTCGCTTCGTCTTGCATCCAGTCACTAGTGAGAATCGAATTAATCTTCATGAGTTTCTTTAAAGGGGTTTGATTTTTATGAGTTCTCGAGTCATGTGCCAGTGGCTGAATGGTTTACAAGGTAGCTTGACTTGCAACCGGAAGGTGTCTTTGATTCGAACCACTCTAGTGGGTGCCCGATTTCGATGGGTTTGAAACTAGGACAAACAGTTGTCCAATACTCCCGGTAGGTTTCAGGTTGTTCTCCAGCTGAAAGCATTCCGTGATCAATCCTGAAACAAAATATGTAATTCCTGCAAATAAACTTATGAAAATTTAATATTAGAATAAAGAGCTGCATAGAGTCCATACAACACAGGAGAGATGAACTGTAAGTAAATGTAATTTGATACTTACTTTCAGAGACATCGATTCATACTTGATTAGATAGGCGATACAAAACACTACAGGACGACTAATCATACGTCTAGAATAAATTAAAACCCGTTGGCCTTTCAATCGTTTCTCTTCTGAAATAATAGAAGCAAATAAATAGACAGATGCTTCTTTTATTGTGTATTGAAGGGAACAATTTAAATTAAATTAATTTAATTAATGTCTAATTTATCTGTCTACAATCGTGTAGAGTTGGGAATCTCTTATTTGTAGTAGCAGCGAATTTAACCGATTTCTAACCCAATCTACTGCTAAAGAAATTTAACTGTTGCTATCCAGCAATAAAATTCATTCTTCAAATGGAAAACGAGTCGAAAATTCCGTTTCTTGATTTGGAACTAACAAGAATAACTGATGGGAACCTAAGAAGATGAATCCATAGAAAACCCACGTGTAATGGTCAACTAACAAGCTTCTATAGCTGGGTACCCATTCAACAAAAGAGGAATTTAATTAAATCACTTGCCATCCGCATCCGACGCATCTGTAGTCCCGACGTTCTGGAAACAGAATTAGACACTCTAAGAGAAACCTTCATCCGAAATGGATACCCAATAAGATTCATCGACAAAAATATAAAACCGATAATTCGGAGAAACGAAACTTTAATTGCACCTAAAAAGAAAATCTACATGAACTTGGATTTCAAGGGAGATTTAGCAAGCGATATTCTCAAGAGAAGGATCATATCATCTCTGAGAAGAACATTCCTTGCAGCAACGCTAAGAATAGTGTTCTCCAGTCGCCCACTGCTCTGCAGAAGCCTCAAGGACAAGATCCCGCATCTGACCACTTCTATGTGCATATATCAAGTTACCTGCTGCTGTAGAGCCAGGTACATCGGTCGTTCGACGCGCACCCTGGCCAAGCGGATTCAAGAACACTACCTAGCATGGTTGCGAAAAGGCAATAGTGGTGCAATGGGGAGTGCGATAATTGAACACCTGGTTAACACTGATCATTCCATTCCGACAAATGCCCCCCTTCAAAGTAATCTCTAGAGTCAAGAATAACCTATCAAAGGCAATACGGTTTCGTCTTCTTTGTATCTATGAAGCTCTGGCCATTCACTTAGAAAAGCCGGAGCTGTGCATACTAAAGAAGATTACTCAACCAATTCTGCTGTCATGGTAACAACTTTTTTTCATTTTGATGACTTAATTTTGTTTCTTTGCCAGTTCTTTAATTGCTTATAATTCTTGTATTCATTTAGAACTCTTACGTAACTTTGTATTATCTACTTTGTTCCTAAGTGTATCCTGAGTAAAACTCATTCATTGAACTATTACATTATTTCTTTTAACAACTGTTTGTGACAACTCATCACCTTTGTTACTACCCTAATTTCATTAACACTTAATTTTCCTGACTGATTTTGTATTACGTAACTTCAATTACCAATCTTCACCTGTTTAGTTAAAATAACCATAACCAAATGTGTTTTTGTTTGACAAACTTAATATACACATATATATTTGCGATTGTACAGCTAAGAAGATGAATTCACCGCCGAAAAGAGACTCTTCGCTGATCTGCGTGTTTTGTTTTCATTAATACCTGGATGGGAATTATCTATGAATTTAACCGATTTCACGGTCTCTTTGCATACAAACTAACGTTTATTGCCAGACAAACCAACAAATTCGGCATATTTTCTCTTGTACAAGAGGTGATGCACACGACCAACTAAGAACTGAGGAGCAGCGCTATCAGATTCGGTCTTGGTCTTAGTGTGAGATTTTTAACCTTTTAGCCTCAACCACTCATAATTCACTTCGTTGGAGTGAAACGTGTATCATTTCATGGGCTGTTGATTTTCTGTAACTATTTGTGTCTTTTAAGCTATCAAACTCTTAAATCAGCTCCTCAAAGACTTTGTCCAATGATTTCTTCTAGCTAGTTATACTTGAACTCCCATGAGCATCTACCTCTCGACCTCCCAGCAATTTCCAAACACAGCCGTCTTCGGTGTCTGATCATGGTGGTCCACTACCAACGTGTTGACAGCTTTGAAATCTTTTAAAATGCTTCAAATATCTCCCTCTTCAAAAAGCTGCCACACAATCTTCGTCTGGTCGATTTGAAAATTTTCATCTTATCTATTTATATTCATATAGATTCTGATCTGACTGACTGACTGACTTCAGGGTCCTGTCGGTCACAAACTGACGTCTAGTGAAAATACACCCCGACGCGTTGTGTTGTTTATACGGTGCGATTTCATTTGTGTGAACCGAAATTATTCTGACCTTGACTATCTGTAGGGATTTTCGGTACATGATTCTTGCTGACAGAGGTTTGATTCCGCCTTTTTGTGAATATTCTACCCGACTCTCAGGTACTTCTTACGATTGATTTTTGGCAAACTAATTTTGTTCTGCAGTACTTGTTTTATGCTTAGTAAGTTACCTTGTCTGTATAGATCCCACAATGGCATTATTGAGGCAATTTTGAGTTCATAATGACATTATTTTTAACTAATACCGTAGGTTATATAGCTGTCTTTGGAGCATTTTATGACAGTGCATTACTCAAGAAAGTTCCAGCTAGGCAGACAGTAGAACTCATAGATTGGTTACCTGCAATTAGACCATAACATAACACATAGGTTTTCAGAAATATGTACCAATCCTTAGGCTCTTGGATTTCTGTAATGCTTCCATATTGCCTTCTGGATCATTAAAGTCTGAAGCTAGCCGATCAACGACCGACCGTCTCCTAAAACCTTTCAGTACCAGCTGCACAAGAAGTATCGTAGGCAGCATTCAGTCGATCTCTTAGCAACGCCTCCAGCAGAATCGTCTTTGCTGTAGAATCCCTGGGAAGTTACTTACTCAGTTATGGCTTCGAAATCTAGTAGAGAGCTTTAGATGTCGCCCTTTTCGAAGACAATTAGTCACAGAATCTTCACCTGGTGGCTTTGAAAAATGCCAATTTACTTATCTGTATTCATAAATAGTTTGGAATGCTAGATGATGAGTAGGGATTAATCAACTTCAGGATTCTTTTGGTCTCTAAATGACATCTAATATACAGAACCAAATAAGGTGTGTATAAAATGTTTATCCTATTTTGGAAAGTATACACCCGCTACTATATGTGATTGCGGAAAGCACATCGACTTTTTGCTGATAAGTTTAAATCTCACGGTCAAGGAATTCATATTCGTATGAGTTTGTGCTGTACTGTTCTTATACTAGAAACGTCCTATATGTGGTTCCCTTGATAAATTTTTGATAAGGCAAGAAAGATTAGATTTGAACTTGAGGAAAGGATACCCGAGTGGTTACTTCACAGGATGATAATGTATGCATCAGGTTTATATTTTCGGTATTTTTCCTTAAAAATATTAATTATTATTATTTGACTGCATGGAGGATTTAATCATGAGCTGACATCAGTTAGAGAACCACTGGAAAACAAGCTGGGAGTACTGGATAGCTGTTTCGTCCTGGTTTGGGACTCTTCATCAGTACGCAGGACGAAACAGCTGTCCAGTACTCCCAGCTTGTTTTCCAGCGGTTCTCTAACTGATGTCAGCTCATGATGAAATCCGCCATGCAATCAAACAAAAAATCCCTACAAAACCAATACTTGAGAATTTTATTATTATTTTCCAGAGTTAGTTTGTAAGGATTAGTTTTGTTTTTACGGGTTGATCACGGATTGATATCGGTTAGAGAACCACTGAAAACCAGCCAGGCAGTACTTGACAACCAGCTGTTTCAGCCTAGTTTGGCGATCATCGGCAGCACGCACCCACCATCAGAGTTCGAACCCAGGACCTTACGCTTACAAGACAAGCAAGCTCGTATACCAACCAGCCACACTTTATATACAATGTGTATACAAATTTTTTGCGTGTTTGTGCGGGAGCAGTTACATCGGAAGAACAGAAAGAAGGGTACACCTCCGATTTTCTTAACATGTGCCGAAAAGCCTACGTCTCAAGAGAACAAACTTTTATAATAGCCTATTACTAGACATCTCCTTGATATGGGTTATGAGGTAGGTGGAAATCGCGAAATCCTTTAAAATTATGAATAGACAACTTGAAAAAAAGTCTAAAGATTTGAATATATGACACCATGATGTAGGAAAGTAAGAAACCATGAGCCTTACAGCAGTTTAACTGCTGCTGCTTAAGCTAAACCTACTGGTAAGCATTAAATTAGCGGACACATTTAGCTAGGTAGGATCTAGTTACCCGCTAAAATATCTCCAATATGCGTCACATAGACTGAGTGACGACGATTAGTCCTAACCACCCAGTTAGTAGGTCTGAGCTGGACGAAATGATGTTCAAGCCTGTGTCTGACTGTTTGAAAGATGATATTTTACGTCAATGAGTCTTATATCCACTATAAACAATGATCAAGAGGATAGAATCCAGATCAAAAGTAAGTATCATTCCATGTCTAATGGTTACTTCAGTTCCCTGCTTCCTTTATCTGACTATCTAATATAAAATGACTTACAAGTACAACGCAAATAAAACGATATTAATGTCTGTGAGAGACACAAAAACGAAATAGTAGAAATAAATTTACGAATAAAGTTGCAAGCATCATCAAGAAACGGGAGTAAGTTGCAATTTAAATCATCAAATGTTTGTGCATTGAACACAGCATCTTTACATTCTTCAAATCTGTTAGAAAAATTAGTAAAACAAAAAAAAATAAAATATTAAATGTCATTCTCTAGCCGACGAATGATTGAGACGCAAAAGAAGGATAAGGATAGATAGTAGTTTGTTACATCTATGTATATTGATCAATTCAACTGCACCTGCAGTGACAGTTAGGTTGTGGGGAATACTACTAGACAACTTAACCTACGTGTCACTACTGAACATTTCCCACTGTAAAGCACAAAATAATCGAGCAAAGAATATTCTTTTCGATAGATTCCTCTTCTGGCTCTACAATCATGTATATATATGTTTATATACACAAAATATTCAAGATTGGTAGTTAATAACAATATTGGTGTTTTTTAAATAATATCGAATTGTAAAGTATGATCAATGCAATTACAGTTCACTAAAAATACTTAAATTATAATACTAATAAAAATATAATAGCGATTAGAATATCAACCAAAATTATGGGAATTGCACAAAACTTGAGGATCATTCAAACCTGGATGGCCAAGGTAATGATAATGTCTGAACGAACTTTCTTCGGATGCGTAAATTAGGCTTGTTAATATGGATCCCCACAGCCTCAGCGATACTTAGTAGTCGAAATCTTACGGCAGAATTGAGATTCGTAGGTATGCGGTAAATGACCCTGAAAGCATGGTTGACGTCAATCTTGTGTTCTGTCTCCACAAGAATAGGCAGAAAAGCGCTACGAATGGATTTTGTTTGACCTTTACTTAACCACGCAGGGTGATGTTCGGAAATTCGACGAGAAACATGCCTAATTGTGCGGCCTATGTAACTAGCTCCACAGGAGCAGTTCAATTGGTAGATACACATGGATGAGGCGAAATTAGGCAGTTTGTCTTTCACTCCCGAACGCAGAAGAGGAGTGGTCTTAAAGATACAACGTAATTCAGCAGCAGGGAATGCTCGTTTTACCGCGTTTCTAATGCGCTGTGTTAGTATTTCGCTAGTGTTGTCCCCAAGGAACTGCATTTGTGGAGCTGTTGGTACCTTGGGCTGCTTTGGTTTCAAATTCATATTCTTATCAATAAACTTTTCAGGATACCCATTCTCATTTTAGTTGATATTTGATTTGCTATTATATCTTTATTATTATTATTATTATTATAACATAAGCATCTTTAATGAACTGTAATTGCATTGATCATACTTTACAAATCGATATTATTTAAAAGACACTAATATTATTATTGACTACTAATCTAGAGTATTCTATGCATATAAATAGATATATATATATATATATATATATATATATATATATATATATAATTGTAGAGTCGGAAGAGGAATTTATCGAAAAGAATATTCTTCGCTCGATTATTTTGTGTTTCATAGATGTCTGAATGAATATTTCTGCCATATTTCCCACTGTGGTGGTTTGGCAAAGGACAGACAAAATCAATCCGTAACACTTTTCGGTCACATTTAGTTGATAGCGGTCATGTAGTGGAGAAAACGAGAGCTTTCTAGGTAATTCATCGTGTCCCACCGAATCTTTCCAATAGACGTCGTATTCGTCTACTGCACACAGCTGAAACAGGCGGTAGGCATTCGAACTATTCAGTCTAAACTATGCATTCAAAAGAAGTTCGTACAGCCATTCTCCTTTCCTTGTTGGCCTCTCTCCTTAACAATGGATATCCTACAAGGTTTATTGAACGTAAAATCAAGAAAGAATCCGCCCCTAGACAAATCACAGTGCCAAAGAAAAAACTGTTTATGAGTCTTACATTCAAAGGTGACACCATTTTCCTGCAGCTGACCTGCAACTGGTTTTTACCAGCCGAAATATGATTAGACAATGCGTCAAGGATAGATTACCGCCTATGCCCACATCTATGTCCATTTACTCCTTTACATGCTCCTGTGGGGCTGATTATATTGAACGTTGTAAGCGTGCTCTCCGAAAACATGTATCTGAACACTATCTGGTTTGATCATTGGAAGGCGAACGTAGAACTGCGAAGTCGTCTATTTTTGATCACCTGTCAGAGTCTGGTCATTCAGCCCCACATGATTCATTCCTCAAGGTTATCTACATGGCAAAATCGAATCGCTCCAAAAGTTTACGTTTTCTTCGCTTATGCATAGCCGAAGCTTTAGCTATACATGAAGATAAATCTAAATTATGTGTTCAAAAACGTTTTGACGAACCCCTTTCTTTACCTTGGTTATAGTAATGTTCTCTGCAGTTTTTATTTTATTTTATTTTACCACTTGAATTCATTCCACTTCACTTCACATCTTTATTCTTATCGTAATCGTACTCCTATTTTTTTTTAAATTTTTCGACGACGCTTGACACTTTTCTTTTAAAAATATTCTTTGTTCACTAGCCAGTCTTTTAAATTTTTAATGGCCATCTTCAATTCATGTATATACATGCCTTAGGACAAATAATCCATGTTGCCATGGGATATATTAGATATTATAAAACACGGTTCAGATAAACAAGTAAGGTATAAAAACTTACAATGGATCTTTATCCATATCACAATTGATATGCGCTTTAATATCCATTTGTCTATGAATTTTACGATCACTAGCGTGCCTGTGTAATCCAATATACAGAACATTAGGAATAACTTCCAAAGGAAAAGTGGATAGTGATTCAAGTTCCTGGAATAAAAAATGCACAAAATATGTTTTTAAAATCCATCATAACTTTAGTGATAGCATCAAATATTTTTTCATTGACAAAAAGACCACTTAATAATTGCTTAAATTCAAGTCTGAATAAGGATTTATCTATGTCCAGACTAAGTTCACTATTAACATCTTTGAAAAAAAATTGAGCATTGGGTGTATGATATTCATTATAATAAAGGATTTTTGTATTTCCAAGTGAATGAAAAACAAAACGATATTGATTTTACTGACGTTTCACTTTTTAATGCTGCTGCTACTAGCTTTATCAAAGTCGTGATATAAAACCAGAATTTAGAAAATCTCAGCATATATAAAACAACTTGATTATCGTCCCTCAGTATGAGGTCATTTTTCGTTGTCAAATTGGCCAATTGGTAAAGATAATAGAACCGGGTGTAGATTGTTCGTTTTGATAAGTGTGTAAAATTATAAAAACAGTGTGTGTTTGCAGAATGAAATCGCTTATCACATTCGTGTTGATTTTGTCGATTCATGGGCGAAGGCGGGGGAGGGGGAGTGTTGTAACCAGGTCGAATTCTGTTTTAGTCCATCATTCCTATTCAGTTCGGACACTTCGGATTCCAATTGATATGAAGTGCTTCTGATGGTATTAGACGTTCTTTGTGATTTCTGAAATACTTTTTCTGGATTATTTGTATGTTATCAAAATCAATTTTGTGACCTGTTTCTATAGCGTGTAGACTGCCAGTAGCTGATGATTTTTCAAGGTTTTCTAGTTTAGGTTGATTTCTCGGTGGTCGGACAGAAAACGTCTGTCTGTCTGTCTATCTGTTTTCGACATAGAACTTTGCACAAATGTGCGGCAGTTCAAGTCGCCACACTCCGTGTAGCACGCGAAGAAAGAGAAGAAAGTACAAGAAAAGCATAATAGAGGCAGTGAGCAGAGGTGTGAGATAAAGGAGTAGTAATAACGAAGAACAAAACAGTTTCATTGGAGATCATAAGTCACAAGGAGTGGATGCATCTGCGCTAGCCAATGAGAACGATTTTGAGCCATGTCGGTGGCACAGTGGTTAGGACACTCGCCGACCATGCACATGGTCCGGGGTTCGATCCTCTGCCGACGCACACCCGATATCTATGGTCGGCCTGCAAAATTTGGGCTACCGATATCCATGCTGAAAATTCCATACTTGTACCAAAAATACAGTGTGGAATCAAGCTGTAAATCAAAAATCAAAAATCAAAAAAAAAAAAAAAAAATCAAAAATGTCACCAATTGTTTTCAGCCATTTGTTTTTACCGTCCCGAGGACCCCAGCCTGGAAGTCTACACCTTCCTACGTGACTTAGACCAACTGTTGTGGATTTCATTGACTGATGGGGCCATGTTTTGTTTGACCGCCGCTAGCACTTTTCCAGCCTGACCCTATGTCCGCTAACATTGCTCGTCGAGGGAGGCGATGGCTTGGCATACGTAACTTCTCGATCGAGAAGTTCTCTGGAGACAGTTCTCTAGACAGATAACGACTGACTGATTGACTCAGTTTCGACGTAGAACTTTGTAAATATGAGTGACAGTTCAAGTTTCCACAATCTATGTAACGCATAAAAGTAAGCGAAATGATGGGAATTCAAAGGACTCATGGTGTGAGAAAATATAAGTAGGAAAGGCAAACACACAAAACAGGCAGAAGAGTGAGAATGTGATGGAAATAGGAGTATTTAAAACGATTTGGAGTCATATGATTAGTAGAGTTTAGCTCTTGGTTCTTAGAATCTAGATGACATCGATCAGGCAGCCTAGATTTATCGACGAGGTGCAAACTGAAAGTTAAGGACTTTATAGATTTCACGCCAATTCCTGATTTTTCCAAGACACTTCATCTCCATCCCAGTCCTATGTTACTTAATATTGTTCAGTGAGGAAGGCGGGGGCTAAAAATGCGTAACACACGTCCTTGCTATCTAAATCTGTTTAACTGCTGAAAATAGCAACTCCAATTTTTTTTAATTCAAACAACTTTTAAATGACATAACAGGGAGACATTTTTATTTGAACACTCAGACAAACAAGAATACATTTTGCTTCTACTGTTCCTGTGAGAGAACGAGAACAGACATGAATCTGGTCCACTGAGTCATGAAATAGTTGAACAAACGACTACCCACTGATGGTGAAAACATCAAACTCGACCGAGAGTTGGGAAAGGAAATTTTACAAATACAACCATTCTTTTAGTTAACAGATCATCCTGCTCAATGTATGAATAAGGCAGGAACTCCAGAATGGTCACAAAAATCCAAAATTCACGGGTTTAACTCCCATCACATGAGCATTGTGCAGTATCAAATCAATACTGTTCTGTAGTAGCTGAAGGCACTCGAAAATCAATTTCATTAGTGCATATAAATTTTAGCACCAGTTATTTTTTTTTATTTTTTGATTACAGCTTGATTCCACACTTTATTTTTGGTACAAGTATGGAATTTTCAGCAGGGATATAAATTTTAGCTCCATCCTGATCTCAAAACCGTGCATTCTTTTTACATGCTGCTAGTGTTTACGGAGGTAATCATAATCCATTCCACTCTGCATTTCGCCCATAAGCCCTAAGCGATGTATATTCAATTTCATTTAACCATAGTGACTCTGTGAAAATGGTTTCTAAGCTAAGTGATGATCATATTCATAAATTATAATTGCTTTTATTTGAAAATGGCTCTTTCACTATATTGGAGAAGCAAAATTCAGTTATTTCGTAATTAAAAAACTTTCATTTGTTGACTTTGGTGAACATTGAAGGAGATTCTAAGTGACCTCACCTTTTTGAAATAGTTTCATTTTCACAGCTGGTGAAAATCTCTGCTGAAGCCTTAATGTTTACTGTTTTACACAGGACTATCGACCAAATGGTGAGTGTAACACTCAGCAGTCCGCTCCGTCCTCCTTTATGGCTGCTAGTGAGAGATGGCCATTGAGAGTGGAAGCCATGAAAAGATTAGCTGTCTTTGATCATAGGTGTCTGCGTTCTATTTCCCGTGTGAAGTGGTATAATAAGGTGAGCAATATTGAAATTAGGCATCTGTTGAGTGTTATGTAACGAGGGGAAATCAATCGACGAGGCTGTGAAATTACGTCGACTAAGATAGTTAGGACATGTGTTACGTATGGTAGCCTAGTCATCGCCTTCCTCAACAATGGGTAATGTTAGCTGACATAGGGTCAGTCTGGAAAAGAGCTAACGGCGGTCAAACCAAAACATGGCCCCATCAGTTAATGAAATCCACAACAGTTAGTTTAAGCCAGTCATGTAGGAAGGCGTAAACTTCCTGACTGGTTTGGGTCGTCGGGACGGTAAAAACCAATGGCTGAAAACAATCGGTGATATGGCTTAAAATCGTTCTCATTGGCTAGCGCAGATGCACACACTCCCTGTGACTTATGATTTCAAATGAAAATATACCGTTCTTCGTTATTACTATTCCTTTGTCTCACACCTCTTTTTACTGTCTCCATTATGCATTTCTTCTACTTTCTTCTCTTACTTTGCGTGCTACAAGGAGTGTGGCGACTTTAACTGCTGCACATCGGTGCAAAGCTCTATATTGAAAACAGACAGACAGTTTTATACAGGACCAGAGAAACAGGGTCAAAATCCGCCTGCCAACCCCATCATATACCTGATGTGTAATTACCTTCAACACAGTGCTTTGTTGCTAGTTGAAGAACGAATCTTCCACTTACTTTTTATGTTGAATTACCCATCACAATGAAATCATTTCGTTATTTAGTATCCAAACACAGTGTTCTGAGTTCTGGATAGTTTTATATTCTGATGACAGTCATAATTTTACATCGCTTTATTGATACTTACTCATTCACACAATTAAGACATTTTCCATTCAGTAAATCATATGATTACATTTTAGATAAAGCTATTTCCTTGTATGCTCCACTAAAGCAGCTAATCTATATTTACAAGTATTGGTTTTGTAGGGATTTTGTTTGATTGCATGGAAAACTTCACCATGAGCTGACATCAGCTAGAGAACCCCTGGAAAATCTGGGAGTACTGGACAGCTAATGGCCCTATTCAGGCAGTTAACCTGGGGTTCTAGTGGGAAGGCGTGACCAGTAGGGTACAGAAGGTTGAAGATGAAGCAGTAACTCATCGAAGAAGACATTACGAAATGGTCGCGCTATGTCGTGAATTGGCAGAAGTTTGACTTTTAGGACCATTGGATCGGGTCCCAGTGGCTCAGCGGTCTACGAGTTCGCCTTGCAACCAGAAGGTCCTGGGTTGGAACCCCAGTGATCGCGTACTGCTGAATCGTCCCAAACTAGGACGAGACAGCTGTCCATTAGTCCCAGGTTTCCCAGTGGTTCTCTAACTGATGTCAGCTCGTGGTGAATTCCTCCATGCTATCTATATTTAATCATATTACTAAATTTGAAATATTTGTCCCATTTATATTGTTCACAAGCTGTATTCTGAGAGAGAATAAAGTGAACACTCCTAGTTTAATAAACTATAATTATGTTGGTGTATAAAAAACAAAACGAACTAAAGTGCTGTCATGTTTAATCGAAAAGGGGTCTGGAAACTGTCTATAAATCTAAAAAGTGTTTAAATGTGAAATTATGGTAGACCTGTAAAGTATTGGTAGTGCTGTGGATTAGTTATACTTTAACATTTCATTACTTAATGAAGTTTACCTATGTACCCAAAAATTCAGTACTCCACCTAACCCATAAGTACTGATAACAAAACTCAAATTAAGAAGACTTGATTATTAGGGAAAAAGTGTTCAAGTGAGCCGTATATCTGAGCAAAATAGAAGGTAAGGATTATTTGAGAGAACAGATATGGTTTTATTACAAACTCAAGGAATGTGAGTATAAACAGTACAATGAAAAAGTACGAAATGTGGTTAAACCAAGTTCGTGTAAGTACGAATTAAAACAAAGTTTTTAACACTGGAATGTGCGCTACAGATTCATCGTTGAGCTCGAGAAATGAAAATCGAAAAAACAACAAAAAATACCTCATAAATACCTTAGAGATTGAACTGGTAAATGGAATTATCGGAAATTCCACTCTTCATCTGTTAGAAAACCTCTGGTTTCACTGAGATTTGCAACACTCAGATAGATTTGGCACTGATTTGTCTCATCAAAATCTTTGTCAGAGGGTGTCCTGATGATCACCTGAATGCAGTCAACGCTATGACAGCGATTTACACGTTGTCTGCTTTGTGTGTCTAAATTCTAGATAAACGTATATGCTAAGTGTTTCCCAAGGCATTCTCTTGGGTGGATTTTTATGCCTCGTGAGTGATGGAATGCAGCTTCATGCTTACAAGTAGTGTAATTTTAATCCATTGGAGTACCGCCAGTTTTATCTTCAAGGGGAATTATAAAAGATAGGACGAATCTACGTGTGTATACTATCGGTACAGATCAGGAATTGAGTTCCCCTACAGTTCTGACTAATCTACAGAGAATACATTTTGTGCGGCTTCAGTTAACTAGTTCCGGTGCAACGTACAGTGATGGAAGATGTCGAATACCTTCACATTTTGAGCTTCAATAATAGCATACCAGTGATGAATATCTCATTTGCCACACCAAGAACTGATAATTTTTTCACCATTAGCTTAAATTTCCAAATTTTATGAATACTTTAAATATGGCTTTCTTTATAATATAGATAGATAAAGATATTTTCACTAGCATATAAGTGTAATCGACTACAGTTGTGAGTTGAAAATATATAAAATGCCACGTGTGAAAAGAAACAGCAGTTAAGGTTTACATGAAAATATTTAGATGTCTTCGTTAGATTATTCTGATGAAGAAATATCATGGAGTGCAACTTGTTCGTTCTGCTGAGTACTAGAAAATCTACCTTAGAGTAAATGTTCAGAGTGATAGAAATGGTGGAGGGACTGGAAAATCAGTGAATTCACTGATTTTCCAGTCCCTCCACCATTTTTCGAAACCATCATTTTCGAAAATGAGTTAGAAATAGGGAAACGAAGATGTGCGCATACTTGTGGGAGATAAAGTATTTTTTCGCTCTTCATATATGGATAAAGACGTGTGAATAATTCGAATCCTCCTGAATAAAAAACAAACATTTAGTAGAGTAAGTGAATTGACAAACCTTCGAGGACTTTCACCACACCTCGACTCCCTTTATCGTACAAAAATTCTGCGGCCTTAACAGCATCACCTTAAAAATTCAGTTTTATATTTTTTTTCTGAATACTGGCAAACTTTTGCATTCCAGGGAAGATGTATTGCCATCATATACCACTATATTCCATTTACAGTCAAGCTCCATATCATAGGAAAGCCTGAAGTTGTTGTCTGATGTCTATTATAGTAGTTTTAAATTGCTGTTTACTACTGTTTTAAGTCTTCTGGCTGTAATTATGTGGGACTTATCATAGTCTTCTGAAATTCGAGAATCTTCCGTAAGTTCGATAAAACATATGCTTGTAATTACCGAAAAGAACGCTATAACACGGATCACTCACAAAAGCATGAGTCAGTTGCTGGTTTAACATGTTGTATAGTTCGGTTGGCTTTATAAGCTCGTATTTCACCATTTCCAAACTGTTGCGTCTTAAAAGTCATGACTACCAAGGTCAGGTGCAGTCTTGAACATTCAACGACTAACCTTGGACTTTCTTATGTTCAAATCTATAATGTCATAATAGTTGCTGTGAGTCTTTCACTTGGCACACTAAAATCTCAGTTAGTTTTAAACTTATGACGACAGAAATAAAAAATAACATAAAAAGGCATTTTCAGTTCCAGGAGGAGCACCAAGACATATTCAGATTCAGATTTTAAGGATAGAATGCTCTTGTTGCCTATGTTAATCCTTGCGATATATATATCTTTGTAGAGATCTAGTTCCTCTTTGAAATTGTTCACCGACGGAGCTGTTAATACTGTATTAGGTAAGGATTTCCAGTCGTTGACCACTCTGTGAGAGAATCTAAATTCCACACATATTTTGTTCAGCCTCGGTTTGAGCACCTTCTTGTGGTGACCTAGTAAATGTCTCCTAGAAGAGGAGAAAATATTTGAAGGTTCAATCTTTACATAACAATTTAATATGCGGTAAGCCGAAATTAAGTCGCCCCTCCTCCTTCGGTATGATAATAGGAAGAGATTGAAATACTTCATCCTCTTACCGTAGAGAAGGTGTGAGATACCACTAGCTAATTTCTTTCCTGCTCTCTGTAATCTTTCCAGGATATGTGCCTCCTTCTTGTAGCATGGAGTCACCACTTGTGTGCAGTATTCTAGGTGAGGTCTGATATATGTTGCATAGATTACTTGGAACATACTCTCAGAATAGCAGGGGGCCAAGTGCAGTACCCTGAGTCGCTTCTCTTAGTACTGCTTTCCGCCCTGACAGTGCACTATTAACCTTATACCCATCAGGTAGTCGCTAAACCACCCATATAGGCATTGGTCTAATCCGAAACGTTCAAGTTTACTTAGACCTGAACTGGATAACTTATCGAATGCCTTATTAAGATAGACAAAGAAAAGACACTGCAGTATAGTAAAATTTCACAGTACGAAAGTTACAAAAACAAGAAGTGAACTTATATAAATACACCGATGTGAATGTAAGCAATAAAATGTGCCCGAACCACCATTCAGATATTAGTAATTTTTCAGTATACAGTATTGCAGCTTTCTTCATTTAAGACTGGGTGCTGACCTTTGTGGTGGCCGAAAACTTATCAAACTACACATTTATCGTAAAATAGTAAAAATAAGGAATTAACAGAAAATTTGATTGTTACGTAAGATGGAACGAGGACACAACCTTGTTCCGCGCGCAACACGGACAAAGCTTCTTCCATCTCCAGCTTCTCGCTTATCACATTTGCCTACCAACTCCGCCTCATACTGATCAACACATCCACCTTGGGATACTTTGCTCCAATCTACTTTTTTCTGCGCAAGTGCTCTCCAGCAGTTGGCATCTCTTATGTGTAGTTGATGATCTGTATGCTCAAGAAAAGGACAATTTCATCTCTGTCATTTTGTACATCTATATTTTGAGTATTTTGGGACTATTACAATTCTTCAAATAACTCAATTTTTGTGTACAGTAACTTATGTGGACTGAATACCTTCTATATACATACATGTTAGTATTTTTTCTGTCCTTTTTTAATTGCCCGTATAAAGGAAGTTAGCCGTTTAGTCCACTACACCTTCACCGTTCAAGTTGACTTGTTAAGCAGAAGTTACGCTGCCAGACATCCACGCCGCTTAGCATGCTGTTGTTTGTGCGTGATCACTAGCTAGTTAAGCAACTATTACTGCCTTACATTTCTGACCAAAAATATGTCTCATACTTAGTAGTTGAGGCACTTATTTTGATGAATGTGTTGGTTACTGAGCATTCACAGACTGTTCGGTTACTTTGTGTTTATTCTTCCCCCTAACGTCTGATTGAGATCTTTAGTTCTTACATTTCCTTCGAATATATCGGTAGAGTACCAGGGCTTGTGAAAATCCAAATACTTATCTTGACTGATCCCACCTAAATAAGACAGTGTGACTACTTTTTTATTCCTTTAAGTTACCAGTGGAACATAGGGTGTCAATTTAGTTGAAGATTAAACGATCAATTTATGGTTGTTTGCTCAAACTCAACTCCTCCATATTTTTCGCGGGTGTCATCAATCCGGCAGTCATCGTCTCATCGTTCGCTGTTCATTGGAAGATAAAAAACTATCAGAAGTATCATCGTAGTTTATCGTTATGACATTTATCCTTAGACCTCGTGTAATAACCTTATTGTTGGTTACATATTGGCGTAAGAATAAAGGATTCTTGAGTCATCAATCGGTGTTGTGGTTTTCGTGTTGGTTAATACAGTGTTTCTGAAAGTCTTCGAGGGACAGCGTGGGATCCAGCGTAGTAACAGCTTGACATTGACAGTTCTTGAGAGTTGCCCGACATAGGGCTTCAAGCTAGAGCTGGTTAGTTTCGGTAGCAGTGGTTTATTTTCACGGGATGGGTATGCTAACCACATGCTCAAACAATTGTGACGAATATAAATGTAACGCCTAAGTATTCTAGCGTTGTTTTTCAGTGTACACCCTCTTGAGACTGAAAATACAATGGGAAACTAATTAATCCCTTGGCTGACAACGTTCATTTGCAATGTTTAATGCTACCCATATGGGTTTTAGTAACATGGTGTCCACTTTTGGCCTTAATACAATTATTTTCAAGCCGGTTGTTTTTATTTCATACCTTCTTGTCTATTTGGTGCACAACCGTACCCTACAAGAAATAGGAATAGAATAAGTCGAATCAAATAAATAAAGAGCTATAAAATGTTAGGTTTAATGGAATGTAATGAGGATCGAGTAGAGACGTTATCAGAAAATGAATGAGATAAGACATTTTGAAGTGGTATTCAAGGATCCAACAATGGACAGCAAGTTAATTTGTAAGATGCCCCATAAGTCTGTGCAGAGCCCACGTGGTCGCATCTTAACAACAGGCTGAGCGAATGGTATATATTTAAAGACAGCAGCATGATTTGTCTAGGCGTTCATTATCTTTTTCAAGATAAAGATCTAAGCCCTCACAAAAATCAGAAAAATCTCGAGCCGTCAAATTGTATATTGCTGTTCCTGCAGAATGGGGCGATTCGCCTTAGTGACCACCACCATATCTACCGATCAGCTAGCGCCACCTTACCTCCTTTTATGATGTTAGGCTCCGAGACTATGATTATTATGGCTACGGCGAATATACTTCAGTACTTCAGTCAAGCCTAAACATCTGCCTAAAGTTACGCGATTACGCCTCCGAGCCGTAGGTAAATCTTTAGGGACCAACTGCGAAATAACCCAACCTCCGTTTTTGGAAAATAGGAGTAGATATTAGGCACTGCTGTGGATTTCGATTTCATATAAGATTAAGTGCATTCAAAGGTAGTGCATTATTTCACTCAAAGCTTGATGTCAGTCTATATTATTATACTGCAAAATGAAGTCTATGTGAGACGAATAATTGAGTAGATGGAGCTGTGGCAGTCGTAGCAATATTTCGCTTATATTGAATTATGCCACCAATCACTTTCTCGGGTCCCAGTGACTAGTCAGGCCTCCATCTCGTCATGATGACAAATTTAATTGCACTCAGATAGAAAAAGAAAAGTCTCGCAGGCAGGATGTTGAATATATTTAATGAAAAATAATCACAAGCAAATGCCTTTACACAATTATTTGTCGTCATTACTTCGGCGATGTCGAGTTGGTGTGACCAGGTTGACTGACGCTACCGGACTTCTGAAAATAAGTGAATAAAGTGTATTTTTAAATTGCTGAAGCCGGAAAAAAGTAACGGAAAAGTCAAACGCTTTATTTTTGCCTACATTTCCTATAAAAAGTTCATTCTCATTTCTCATTTTCTAGTCATGACAGCATTCCTCTGTAGTTTTTACTGTCACACCCATTGTTCATCTTGTAAAGTATAGTACCTAGCAAACAATAATGATTTGACTCAGTCTACGCGCGCTGTTTGAAAGGGAGTGCTTTTTTCACGTATTTCACGTTTTTGACAAATCGCTGTTTTGTTGTGTTATTCACTTCAAGAACATTTAAAAAAAACTTTAACTTGACTTTTGTCTGTTAAGTTTTGATTTTAACCACTTATATAGTCTATATTGGGTAAATTGTCTTGGCTGTTTCCAGTAGAAATTCATCATGTCAAAAGTACCACATAAATGTAATAGGGCGGAGTGTTACTTTTTGGTAGATGATGGAATACAGTGTAATAACTGTGAAAAATGGTATCATAAGATGTGTACTGGATTACGTCCAGCTGCATACAAACGCTGTACTGCTCCAACATCCCACTGGATGTGCAGAATGTGTTGCTCTCCAAAGATGACCTTAATAAGGGAGGCTCACGAACTGCTGTCTAAAGCCATGGAACTTCCTGATGATAGCGTGGCTAGTAAGAGTGACACGGACTGCCCGTCTGAAGATGAAGCAGTAAGTGCCATCATGAATGTTATCACACCGGCGGTTACTATCCCAGTTACCCCGGAAGTAAAACCTACTAGGCGTTCGAAGCGTCTTAGTAAGCGAAAAGGTAAAAAAACGGAAGCTGTAAACAGCACCTCAGAACCAGAGAACACCGTAAGCGAAGTTCACCATGAAGGTGGCGCAGACACTGATCTTGATTGTACCATCAAAAACTGCAGCAGCCCTGAGAAGCAACTGCAGGCAGATGATAAATGGGTAACAAAAATAAGCAGTCGAAAGAAATATAGTAATATTGATG